TACTTTGAAATGACATTATCATCTACGTAACCCACCCACACAATAATAGGCTATCAGTATTTCTACAGACATTATTAACAGATGACAAAGTAATAAAACACAAACTTTCTTTTATAATAAACAAAATCAAATTGTGTTTTTAAGAACAATGACACTTACATTTATAAAAAAATTGTTCAAATTGCTACCTAATTTAATATAGAAATATATCACAGTTTGTGACACCCATTTAAAATTTCATTTTATTTTGTCCCTAACCTAAATACTATTTGAATGGAATCTTAGTTAAGTTTCTTGTGTAGTATTGTACCTGAACAATAATTCTACTTTCATTTGATGTTGATGACTACTCCAAACTAGAACCTAATAGCATTCTACTAAATGGAGGTTTATTTTCACCGTGTGTGATAATTTCAATGTGAACTGAAAAGTTCTTTTTTAACAGTACTCTGTCTCTGAAATGACCTATGCTTCCTATTGCTAATTTCATCAGACTAAATTTTACTGTGGTACCATACTGAATCAACTTTCCACTTTTCATGGTTATCAAATTACATATATTTAATTCAAATATCTCCACTATAAGCTAAGTTACATTCTCTACTCTTTGTAAAATAACTCTGAATCAATTCTTCAATGTCTAGATAACTACAATCTGAGCTATGTTCTTTATTCTTTGTAAAATAACTCTGAATCAATGGTTGAATGTCTAGATAACTCCACTCTGTGCTATGTTCTAAATTCTTTGTAATACACCTCTGAATCAATAGTTGAATGTCTAATTAACTTCAATCTGAACTCAGCTATGCTCTCTATTCTTTATAATACAACTCTGAATTATGGTTGAATGTCTAATTTCAATCTGAACTAAGCTTTGTTCTCTACTCGTTGTAATAAAACTCTGAATCAATGGTTGAATATCTAATTAACTTCAAACTGAACTGAGCTATGCTCTCTATTCTTTGTAATACAACTCTGAATCAATGGTTGAATGTCTAATTTCAATCTGAACTAAGCTATGTTCTCTACTCTTTGTAATAAAACTCTGAATCAATGGTTGAATATCTAATTAACTTCAAACTGAACTGAGCTATGCTCTCTATTCTTTGTAATACAACTCTGAATCAATGGTTGAATGAATAATTAAATTCAATCTGAACTGAGCTCTACTCTCTATTCTTTGTAATATAACTCTGAATCAATGGTTGAATGTCTAATTAACTTCAATCTGAATGATGTTCTCTACTCTTTGTAATACAACTCTGAATCATTGGTTGAATGTCTAATTAACTTCAATCTGAACTGAGCTATGTTCTCAGTTCTTTGTAATACAACGCCAAATCAATGGTTGAATGTCTAATTAACTTCAATCTGAATGATGTTCTCTACTCTTTGTAATACAACTCTGAATCATTGGTTGAATGTCTAATTAACTTCAATCTGAACTGAGCTATGTTCTCTATTCTTTGTAATAGAACTCTGAATCAATGTTTGAATGAATAATTAAATTCAATCTGAACTGAGCTATGTTCTCTATTCGTTGTAATACAACTCTGAATCAGAGGTTGAATGATTAACCTCAATCTGAACTGAGCTATGTTCTCTACTCTTTGTAATACAACTCTGAATCAATGGTTGAATATCTAATTAATATCAATCTGAACTGAGCTATGTTCTCTACTCTTTGTAATACATCTCTGAATAAATGGTTGAATGTCTAATTTCAATCTGAACTAAGCTATGTTCTCTATTCTTTGTAATACAACTCTGAATCAATGGTTGAAAGTCTAATTAACTTCAATCTGAATGATGTTCTCTATTCATTGTAATATATCTCTGAATCAATTGTTCAATGTCTAATTAACTTCAATCTGAACTGAGCTATACTCTCAGTTCTTTGTAATACAACTCTGAATCAATAGTTGAATGTCTAATTAGCTTCAATCCGAACTGAGCTATGTTCTCTGTTCTTTGTAATACAACTCTGAATCAATGGTTGAATGTCTATTTAACTTCAGTCTGAACTGAGCTATGCTCTCAATTCTTTGTAATACAACTCTGAATCAATGGTTGAATGTCTAATTAACTTCAAACTGAACTCAGCTATGTTCTCTATTCTTGTAATACAACTCTGAATCAATGGTTGAATGTCTAATTAACTTCAATCTGAACTGAGCTATGCTCTCAATTATTTGTAATACAACTCTGAATCAATGGTTGAATGTCTAATTTCAATCTGAACTAAGCTTTGTTCTCTACTCTTTGTAATAAAACTCTGAATCAATGGTTGAATGTCTAATTAACTTCAATCTGAACAGAGCTATGTTCCCTATTCTTTGTAATACAACTCTGAATCAATGGTTGAAAGTCTAATTAACTTCAATCTGAATGATGTTCCCTATTCGTTGTAATATATCTTTGAATCAATGGTTCAATGTCTAATTAACTTCAATCTGAATGATGTTCCCTATTCGTTGTAATATATCTTTGAATCAATGGTTCAATGTCTAATTAACTTCAATCTGAACTGAGCTATGCTCTCTATTCTTTATAATACAACTCTGAATTATGGTTGAATGTCTAATTTCAATCTGAACTAAGCTTTGTTCTCTACTCGTTGTAATAA